ACATTTCGTTTGTTTAGTTCCTCAATAATATTGTTGGACCTCTAGTAGTCTGCTGGCTTTCTTCAGTGCTTCTACCAGCAAACTGAGGTAACTGAGTGCTACTGGGATGGTTAAAAGTCATGTTTTGAAAGGGAGAAAGAGAAATTGTCTTGACGGCTTGATTGTTTCTCATAATTGCCTTTGATTTTTTATGTAACATTTGTTGTATTTGGGCTAACCAACTCAGTTCCTGTATGTTTGTTCATCTTAGCCTTTTTGAGCTGTACAGTAGATCCTTCCCACCATTCTGTCTCCCTGACAGCATTTTCTGGCAGATGGATTTTAAAGAAGCTATTGTAATTTTATCAGCTATAGTCCTTATTTTATCCACCCATATTTGGGCTTGAATATGGCTATCTTTTTCTTATTCTTAATAAAGTTGATGTTTAAATTGTATTATTATTATCATTAGATGTTTATTCCATCTTTTTATATACATGACTCAAGGCAGCAAAGATACCTGGTGCCTGTACTCCTGCCTCCTATTTTTCCCCACAACAACAACCCTGTGAGGTGAGTTGGGCCGGGAGAGAGTGACTGGCCTAAAGGCACCCAGACAGCTTTCATGCCTAAGGGGGGCCTAGAACTCAGTCTCTTGCTTTCTAGGCCAGCCCCATAGCCACTACACCAAACTATATCTGGTGCCTTTAATAAAAGTCCCTGGAAAGGAGGATGGCTGTTATCTCTGGTCACATGTCTCAAAACAACAAGGCCCAGAAGGAGGTGCTACAGAGTTCATTTATTCTTGTTGTTATTATTATTATTAGCAGCAGCATTATTCCCAGGTACTGGCAGGTAACAATGCTTAGGCTGTAAAGAGCTGGAGGCCAGGTCAAGGCATTCCCCTAACAAGATGGCTCATGGCAAAAGAAGTAAGCTGGACCAAGGCAGGACACTAGGGCCAAAGGATAGCCAGTCCCAGAAGCTTTGAGGGAATGGACTGATAAGATCTCTTCTCACCTCATACCTGTCATGGGCACAGCCAGAAACCCCTGTCTACCTCCTCTTGCTATGATATGGTGACATGATCACTGAAAATCAGGGGGTAGCCCCAAGTAACTTGCTTTTGATTTTTTTTTCGGACGGGGGAAGGTATTCATGGTCTGTGCCGGGGACACAGGCTAGAATCTAACCTGGGCTAGGCAAATAGGCAAAGTGTTTTGTTTTCTTTGTTACTCTGTTATTATTTGTTTTGTTTCTAATTTTTGTTATTATTCTGATTTTCCCACCACCACTTGCTAGTACCAAATCCAATACCTACCCAGAAAAGTTTAATTCCCTATTTTTATCTCCTGTTTGATGATGATGATGATTGCTTTCAAGTCCTTGTTGATTCCCAGTGACTGGACCACCCCCTGCAGATTTCTTGGCAAGATTTAAGAGGTAGCTTGCCATTGCCTCCTTCCTAGGCCTGAGAACATGACTAGCCCAAGGGTTTGGCTTTGTGCCAAACCCTGCCTTCTTTCAGGATACTGGATCCATTCCCTGCCTCCACTTTTCTGTTTCCTCCAGCAGCAACAGCATCTGATAGCTCTGTGCATTCCCAGTCCTCCCTGGGTTGTTTTCGGAAGTTTCTCACCCCCCTCTCCCTTTCCCCCACACAATTACTTGTACGATTTCCACAAGCAGGGTGTCTGTCCGCCTGTCTTATTTCTCAGGACTTACACAGTTTTGGCTGCAGTGCTGTTGTAAGTCAGCATGTGACGATGCTACTAGAATACCTGAAGAGGGTAACTGACATGAAACCTGATGCAGGGAAAGAGTACTGCGGGCCAGACTGGGTCAGCTAAAGGCATCCCCTCTTGCCAGTGCCATTGCCCAGGAAATGCCAGTTCCAAGCGCCGGCCCAAGAAGCTTCTCTATGGGACGAGGAGCTAGTTAGGGCCCTTGTGTATGGAGAAGCTCTCTGTAGGTACAGAAATATTTCCAGTGACTTAGTCGACACATCCTAACACCTGAACCTCATGAATGGCTCTGCGACATTACAACTCACCTCTCGTCACAGTACTCTTATCTTCTGAATGAAGAGTGGTGGGCGTCGTCACTCGACTTGTGGAGAAAGCTTGAACGGTGGAGGAAATAACTGGGGAAAACCGAAAATGATGATTTCAGACGAGTCAGGCAGAATGTTCTGTACTAAAGGTCAACACGACTGTTCTGCAAGACTGAAAGATGGTCACCTTTGACACATTTGGGGATGGCAGGAACCCACGAACTGTTAGCTCCACATTGAATATGCAGGCTTCCCATGGCGGAATAGCCGGAATTACATTTGAAGCTGATGCCTTCATTATAGGTATATGACGGCTTAGGTAGATTTGATAATTTTCCATTTTCCACTTCTGGCTGATCACATTTGACTTCTGAAGAGAGAAAGCGACACTTAAAAGGAAACCAGGCCACAACAACAGCCTAGAGGCTGAAAATAAAGACAAAGCAGAGCTACCCCTTGGCTGAAAAGGATATATAACTAGCATTTGCTTTTCCTTCTTCTCGCCCTGAGAATCATGCCCCCACCGCTTCCACCCCTTCCAGCCACGGTTGCTTCCTCTCTCTCAGCATATCTGCAGTGGCACACTCCATTTCCACGGCCGACGGGACTGAGAGGAAGAACCTTTTTCTCTCCAGCAAGCCAGATCTGGGCTGTTTGGATTGCATCATAAGCCAGTTCACCAAAATCACACAGAGGCAGAAAAAATTAATATTGCCACTTCATCGGGTGCAGCGGGGGCAACATGAATACATACACTATTCTGTCTGAGGCTGAACGTTACTCTCTGATATTGAGCCACTACGTGGTAATATTCGGCTAGTCTTCTTTCAGTAAGCTTTTATTTCCACCAAGTACAAGATTTACTTCACTAATACTAAGGCATGTTGCCATGTTTTTAAGATGGGCTGCTTATCCAGCCAAAAAACTATCCTGGAGGACCATGGCTACCTGTTACTGCAGAAAGGAGAAAGCGCTGTTATTTGGCAAGCAATGACTAAATACAGATGCAAGAATTTTACTTACCCGCAACAGCAATTCAAAAAGCAATTAAACAAATTAGAGGTTAAAAGTGATTCAGATTTTCCTTACTTTTACATTCAGGGGCAGGTGGATTCCACTTTCCGTTTACACCATTTTCTTCCACTATGCATGTGATTGTTGAATTTCCAATCAGAGAGAAGTCACGGTCGCAGCGATAGATCACCGCTGATCCAGTGTAATATTCGTCATAAGGATGAGGATCAAAGTATCCATTGGGAATCGTGTCAGGACGAGGACAAGGGATGTCTGAGGGAGAGAATGATTTCTTTGAATTCATCTTTTAATGAGAATTACAGTCACATTTTGGTGCTGGAAGGAAGTTCTGACTAGTTCATTCAAGGGACTACTGCGGTCAAGTAAACAAACCCTCTGAGAAACATTCTCCTTCTGCCAGCTGAAAACAAAGAACTCTCTTCGCCTGTAGCAGAGGAGAAATCATATCACTGCAGAGGATTCCTAAGACCAAATGGACTGTCCTGTTCACGGGTGGGGTTTTGTCGCCCAGGCATCGCTGTAGTCAAAGGCTACAGCCATAAGAGGTAATGTGCCGAGGTCCATACGATCGTTCACATTTTCAGTAAAGTGGTAGGATTAAGAGAAACTTGTTTTTGAGGTATTGGGGAGTTACTGCAACATACAATAGGCAACAATGGGGCTGATTGATGAACAATGTGGAGAATATAATCTATTGTGGAACGTGGTGTGGCTATTTAATACATTATTTAGTTGATGAATTTATCTTCTCCTGATCTTGGCAAGAAAGCAGTAGCATTCCTGCAAGAAATTTGGGGAAAGCTTCCAATTCTTAGTAGTAGCAATAGGTTATTAAATAAAGAAAGCTGTGGAGATTTCAGGAGGAAGGACAGCAACATTCCATTCTTTAGTTAGGAAACCATGTTGAAGGAGATCCATTTCTACTCTTTATGCATTCAGCAATCCTCAGCTGCCTTAGATTATTCCACCCTCTGACTTAGCCTAGACAGAACAGTGTAACTTTTTGGAAGCTGCACCAAAACCCACTGGAATAAACTTCAATGACTCGAAAGCAAAATCTCCTCTTACGCTGGCAAGTTGGGAAATCTCTGTTCCAGTCAACCCTGCCATTTCTCAGAATACAATTAACAGTAGCTTCACCAATAAGTCTAAACCTGAAGAAAAAGAGGACAAAAAAAATCAGAATACAGTTTTCTATATCCGATCCTATCTTACTGTCACTTAAGAATTATTAAACAAGAACAGTAAAAATAGTTAAAGAAAATGAAGTATTAAAGCAGTTGGAGTCCCATGAAGCAGTTATTAAGAGGGAGTGGTTAAATAAGTCTCATGCAAGCAGGACAAGGTTCTGTCTAGGTCGCTGGGACCAAAGGACTCATTTAATTCCTCTCTAAATGATTTATATTTATATTGAGAATCAGTGGGTGGATGCACCACTCCCGATACATGGACGATGCTAATCAATTAGAATTCTGTGCAGCCTTTGAAACAGCATTTAAAACCACAGGACTTAACTCAGGGACCCAGGAAAACATAAGACAGAGAATCATAGCACAGATCACCAGAACACAGAATCAGGGGCAACTCAAAGCAGAGGACAGAGCAGCCCTCAAAAACCTAAAGAAAGACCAAACCATCATCCTCCTCCCAACAGACAAAGGCCGAACCATGGTTATCATGGATAGATCACAATACCTACAAAAAGCCAAAAACCTACTGGGGGGACAAAGAAACATACATCTCAGTAAACACCGACCCAATACAGAAAATATACAACCTGACCAAGAGAACCCTTAACAACCTGACCAAGAAAGGCCATATCACAAAAGAAAAACAGTGGTGGATGAGAAGCAGTGGACCCACCTTCCCATGCTTCTATAGACACCCAAAAATACACAAACCCGATATACTTTTCTGACCAACTATATCATTACCAGGGACCCCCAACTTACACAACAGCAAAAGAACTCACAAAAAGCTTGGACATCTCATAGAGGGAGCAACTATTCTATCAACTCCCCACTACAGTGCCTCCTGAAAATCAAAGATCTACAAATAGATGAAGATGAAATTATGGTTTCTTTTGATGTCACAGCACTCTTTACATCCATAGAACCAGAACCAACAAAAGAATCTATGGCAGCAGTACTACACAACACACCCGACCTAACCAAATACACTAAAATAGAAATACCCAGGATCATGGACCTCATCAGCCTCTGCCTCATTACCTATTTCCAGTTTGAGGGACAAATATACCAACAAGTCAGAGGAACACCCAGGGGATCACTGCTCTCAGGACTCACTGCAGAGACTGTAATGCAGCATCTAGAAACTATACCACTTCAACACATACAACCAAAAGTATGGATCGGTATGTGGATAACACCTTTGTCATAATAAAAAAGGAACAACTAGAGAAGATAAATAAAATAATCAACAACATCTTCAAAGGAATTAAATTCACTAGGGAAGAAGAAAACAACAACACACTACCCTTCCTGGATATCCACATCAGCAGAGGAAATAATCTCAAATTAGAAACACAAGTCTATTGAAAAGCAACCCACACTAACCAAGTGCTCCATTACCAAAGTAACAACCCTACCTCCCACAAAAGGAGCTCCGTAAAAATGTTATTTAGATGAGCACAAACACACTGCAGCAACCCAGGACAGCAGAAAAGGGAAACAGACCACCTATACTACATCTTCCAACAAAATGGATACCCATGCAACTTTATCAAAAAGTGCCTGACCACTCAACCCACTATAACACAACCAACACAAGTTATGAAAGGGGTAACACTGCCTCACATCAGAAATATCTCAGAAACAGCCAACAGACTATTACAACTACATGGCATCGCTGTAGCGCACAAACCAACTAAAGCCCTCCAAAACATCTTAAGTAAAACAAAAGACCCAGTAGCCCACGAAGAAGAAACAGGAGTCACCTACAACATACAGTGTAAGGACTGTAACAGCCACTATGTAGGACAGACAGACAGAAGGCTAGCAGAGCGCATCCATGAATGCCAACTAGCAGTCAGAAGACATGATGAAAACTCCTTAATCTTACAACATATGGACAGACTTAACCATAGTTTCAACTGGGAAAATGTCAGCACTGTAGATCAAGGTAAATCCAAAACTGTGAGGGAATTCCTGGAAGCTTGGTATTCAGACAAGTCAGCCATCAACAGGGACATGGAGATAAACAACATTTACACGCTATTCAAAAGAGACAAGAAAAAGGAAACAAAAAGTTCAGAACATCTCCTCACCAGCAATCAACATCCAGATAAACAAAGGTTAACACTAGGATCAGCACCAGACAACCTATCAAGCGGTAATTAATACCCTAATCAAGGAACTACAAACTCATACGATCAAGCAATGAACAACAAGCTAATCAAGGAACTATCAAGGAGAAAACAACATCCCCACCAACACTGATAGGGCAAGCTACTGTATATAAACAGACAGCAAACCCCAGTCCCTTCTAGCACTGAAGATGTTACCTAGCCAGGTAACAAAACATCTACAAGAAAATAACCAAGCTCAGAGAACCCCAAGGACTCCATGCTGCTCTTGATTTTTATGTTTTTCAAAAGAGTACAAAAACTGAGGTGGTACTAGTGTCCACATATATTTATATTTAAGAATACCAATTTTTAAAAAGGCTTCATGTTATTTTAAATTGATTTTTGTAGCTATTATTTCTAAGGCAACTATTTTAAGAGATGAACTACAACTTACCCATGTACACAGGAGAAAGTTACACTACCACCAAGGCGGACATCACCATCAGTATCTCCTTTGCCGTTCTCTATAACTGGAGGGCGACATTTTTTCCCTACAAGAATAGTTAGCACATATGCTATCATGTACTATCACAGTTTAGTGTGAAAGTGATGCAGATCTGACACATCAGTGGATGGAAACACAGGTGCCCACAGAGAGTAAATCAGACTTGTGGGAAGGCAGCAGTTCGATGCCTGGGATGTAATGCTAACCTAAATCCAGCCTGCTAAAACAGGCTCCTCTCGTTCCATTCCCAGAGAGATGCAGGACCCTCCAGGGCAACAGAGGCACCTGCAGAGTCAGAACCTTACATCAAAATGACAAAAGCAGCTTTGCACGACTGTAATGCAAGCACCATCCCTTTCATATCTTTCTGTGATGTCAAAATACAGGAAGTATTCATACCCAGTTCAGCACATAAGCAAAAAAGCGAGAAATAACTCCTGATCTGATCAAGGATGCTGCTTGTCAGTTTAGAACAACAGTCTCCAGCCTTCGGGTTCTTGGATATGTTGGATTTCAACGGCTAGGATGGCTGGGAGTACGGGCTAGGAGTCTTGGAAATCCAACACATTAGAAGGCCACTGATCTGCAGCAACATTATCTGAATTAGGCAACAGTGAGTTCCAAGGGTAACTGGTCACGGCAGTAGATTCATAAAGGGTCCATATGAAGTTGAAAGGATGGAATTCCAACTGGGTATCATGGAAGGTGTAATCAACAATATCTGGATACCCCAGGCAGGGGAAGATGGAGCCAACCTGCCAACCAGAGCCTGGGGGTTCCTTCTGAAATGCTAAAAGTTGTATCTGGGGAAACACCCGCCCACCTTCTGGATGACTTCTATCAATTGGAGTCCAGGCCCAGTTCTATCTAAGACCCCAAGCTCCAGACTCCAGTTTCCAACTGCAGTGCCCAAGAGTACATATGGAACCCTCTGAGCAGAGCAGGAATGCATCCAAATACTGGGGCTTACTTGAAACTGAGGAGTAACAGAAGCATTGGCACACCACTATTCCTTGCCCATCCCACTGGCTGGACTTCCACGGGCTGCCCTCCCCAATTCAGCAAACAGGATTTGACGTTTCTTGTTGCAGTCCCAGCAATTTCATATTAGCTCAATTACCCCCAAACTACCACAGAGGATTAGATGCCCAAGTACCCTGGCCTTCAGGGAAGGATTCTGTCCCAGACAGGAAATGCCTTCCACTCTCAGTGCCAGTCACCTGGGTGCCTCTTCCAATGTCCCTGCAGCTCTGCTTTCAAGGGGAGCTCCTGGCAGAGACACCAAGGAAGTCAGGTGCTGCCTCCTTTTAAGGCCGGAAGACGTCTGAGTTGCCCGACTTCCCAAAGCCATAGCACAATCACTTAAAAACTGGTTTTAGGTAGACCATCAGCAAATGAAGACCAGAATGTGTGATAGAGCTTTCTGGAAAGTTCACCCCCGACTACAGATTACCCATCCTCTGAAGGTTCGACTGTTGCCCACACAAAGTAGTTTACAGAATGGTTTAAAAATATTGGTTTCCTTAGTTCATTGGATTAATAACTCAGCTTATAAGTAAGGTAAGGTTCTCAGGTAGGATATATGAACTACTGAAGTTACTTGTTTTTGTATTTTTATTGGGTTGTATAATGATATTTTGGCAGATCAAATGAAGGCTGAGATATAAGAAATGTAAATACATTTGATACAGGTGGTATTTTTTCAAAAATAGAACTATCAAGAAGATACTCACCCTGACAAAATACTGGAACTTCTGACCATTTTGAAGTGTTCAGACATGTAATGGAAGATTCAGTTCCAGGTATGTATTCATAACCCACGATGCAATGGTATGTCAGGACAGCCCCAGCTGGATAGCTTTCTTTCAGGGGGCCTCCGTTGAGTGATGAATAGAGGGGTGGTTCTGGAGAGGTGCAGTTACCTGGAGCAGGAGTGGTAAGGAGAGATCTATAATGAAAGTGTGGAATGACTTATAAAGCCACAAAGTCTTTGCTTAATCTTGCTTCCTTTGTTCAAATTATTGCAGTTAAATTTGCTGAAATAAGGCCAGCTGCAAGAAACTTCTTTGTTTTTCCATCTGTATTGTCCTAGGGCAATTCCCAGCAAAGCCAACACCAGAAGCCAAGATATTGTCTAGCTAAAGGTATCGGGAATTGTCCCCAGTTGCATAGGCTGTGCACTGCATGAGGCAGAATTTCAGGTTGCCTTAAAGGGCTGTAAAATCTGATGCACAGAAATTGCATCTTCTGGGCTATCTGTTAGGAAAATTTCCCCAATGCTACATGAATCTCATGCAAGAAAGGAGCCTTTGAATGACAATGCCTTCTTTTCCGCCTTCCTTCCCAGTGCCAGCTTGGCTTCTGGAGCAAGGGTCATCTGAAGTTTCTCAAGGTAGGCCTGAGAGAAGCTTAGGATCAGATACGATTTTAATACATTCACACATGCAGGGGTCTGCAGAAAGGACCTCCCTCTTGGTCGACAGTATTGGAATTGGGGGTAACCACACAGCTTCTTTAGAAAGACCGGGAGGAGGTTAAGATTCAGAGTCCTGTTCAGGCTCTTCTATTTTTGAAATACTAGATAAGAATGAAGAGAAAAGCACAGTCAAGGGTGCTGCTGATGGGGGGGGGGGGGGGGGGGGGG